GGAAACCTTAAAGGCGTCTGACATAGATAATAGAAAGAGTTTATGCATGAGTAAGGCTCTTTTTTTCGTTTACCCAAAATTGCACAAATTCTATACTTGGGCCGGAAATCTTCATGCTACTTAAATACATCTCACCTATTTCTAACTCCCTTTTTTAATAAAAGACGCCGAATTTTGTATCGCTATCTACAGAGGCCATTAGTCCATCAGTGTCAAATGTTGCCCTACTAAGTGTCCTCTCTTTATTTAAGTAATGCTGATAATAGACACTAACATATAGCTGCTTGCTTTCTCACATCTCTCTGCAGTAGTTCATTCTTCTGCTGGTAATGATGGATGTGCACCGTCTCTTCATTCACAGGTAAATTGAACTTGTATTACTCCATAGCCGCTTTAAATCCGACTGAATCTCATTCAAAACAGCATGCTCATACTGATGATTGGCCTTATTTTCTGATCCGCAGGTCCACAAGATGAGTGGGCTTCTAAAGCTCTTGCCCTTCTAATTATTTTCACTGTCTTGAGCTCTTCAAATCCATGCAGATTCCTAATGGCTAACCCCGTGATTATACCAATTGCGACTCGAGGTAGAGGAAGATGCTGGAGGGGAGATAAATGCTGATGTCATCGTTCTCTTTAGAATTCGTGCACTGAATGCCAGGATTGTGAATTCAACAATAAATAAACGACTTCGACCGACTGATCAAAGATGGTAGGCAAACCCACAGTGTTCATGATATTATTAGACCGAAATTGAACGCTGAGCATTTGGATTGCGCATGATCAGACATTCACTTGATGTGGATCTAAATCAAGTTCTGTTACGTGAACATGTGATTTCTTAAGCAATTGCTTGCTTTTGTTAATTTAAATTCTTTGGTTTTATACAACCGCTGACCTATTGCAGTTCAATTTGGGCTAGTCTTTGCTAATTCAATTTATTTGGCTACTTTCAGTCTGACTCTTTTCTAATAGTTATCAATATTTTGGTGCAATTTTTAAAAGGAATCCTTTTTCTTGTCTCGAATATCACCCGAATATGATGTCACGGTGCGGCAATAACTATCAGGACTAGATAATTAGGTTGTATTTACAACTTGACTACGGTTTCGCTCCATGAAGAAGGCTAAGAGCAGAAATTCATTTGCCTGCAATTCACTATTTCTGAACGTTACTTGCTGAAAAAGGTGATTTGCAATAATTAATTGCATTATGACTATAGAAGGAATTAGTTGCTAAATAAGATCTTTTTCTAGACAAGGTTTAGATCATGTTATAAAATGAGATTAAGATGGTGTAAAGCTGAAGCTGAGTTCCAGCTATTTTGATGCAACTTATCCACTATCGAAAATTGTTATCGTTTTTATGATATGCTGTATAACTGTTTGAGAGTAGGTGCTTAATTCAAGTCAGTCACTCGTTTTTACGAAATTAATTTCACTTTATATCAAATCTGTCTATAAAATACAGAATCAGAGGATTCCATATCGTTATATTTTTTTCAATTACTACACCTCAGTATTGGAAAGGTATCTCAAACTGGGTTACTGGGTCATTGGTTGGAGGTTATCCGCATTTAAATTTGGCAGTTAAAGGTTCTTACACACTTTCTTTGGAGATATTTTATTGCGATGTTTATAGGACGTGCTCATCTGAATTGCTCGAAGTGGTACTATCAAGCTCGGTATTGGAATAATATTTGCACCGAGCACCAATAGGCAGACCGGTAGCACTAGATTTTGCCACAGTGGCTTTTTGATGAGCCAATCAGCTCAGATAATAAAGTCGATGATGCTAGCAGTGTGAATAATGTACGCACGAATGCTCTCAAAAATATTCATATCGCGTCCACATCGTGGATAACAAATACGTGATCTCTTATCATTGCAGCCGCTGTACCAATACCAGTCCTCGGAGCAGACAATTCAACCTGTTGGCGGTTACTCAACTAGTATTAGTAGACTTCTATTTAATGGTCACGTGGCCACCTGTAAGTCTGTAACTGATGTTTTAGGATAATAAAAATATGCGCCATTTTTCGTTGCTCTATTGGTCTTTTTTAGAGGACTATTTGCATGCCCGTCACCTTCACTCATTCTTATACCAATAACAGCTTGTATAAACTCAACACTTGTCAAAATATTAATGCGATGTACAAATTTTAGCCTTTAATAATTTTTTTGCAGTTCTCATGTACAGGACTTTATTAATGAGATCACAATAACAAAATCTCCCAGTGCTTGTCTATAACAGCTTATAGTGTTTTTAATCCATCTATCCTGCCACTAGAGACATCCTTCCACAGTTTTGTTTGAGTAACAACACCAAATTTTCCAAGCAGCGACACATGATTCATTCGAATCATCGTCTCAAATCAGCATTTAACAACGGTGTAAAGCAAAACTTTTACGTGCCGAAGATATCCCGTTTTAAAACGCAACTTCATATCACAAAAGTTTTGATTAAATGAACATAAACTATGCTTCAGCACTGTTTATCACATTATGTGTAAAGATTACAGAGATTGTTTTCTTGTGACAACCAAAGTATGCATGTGCTTGTTATTCAATTGCTTATACAGTTAAAAACAGTTTAATAATAGCCTGAAATCGTTTGCACTTTTACCTCAGAAGTCTGAGATTTTTTGAAATTTTGCCAGTCCATCACTTTTCGGTTGGAAGCACTACCTGGAATGGTTTGAATGGCCTATCAAAGCTTACGTTTCCCTTGGCGTGTTATCGCCTTCTTTTTGGATCCCCTCACAAATTGCTTACCTTAACGGTGGGACTCATCTTCCTTATTTGCATCTCTCTTATCGCTTTACACACTTTACTCACTTTGCACAACTAGGTATTTAGTTGATCTTGTTGCCATTTTAGGCCTAATTATTTATCGGACACAGCAAGTTTACGTTGTTGTGGCACATAATATTAAGTTATTTGCACTGTGTGCAGTGCGCTTTATCAGCAAGCCAAAACAATTAGTGCTTAACTTCCCGTCTATGACGGTGACAACTATGCAAATGCAATGAAAGGAAAAATCCACCCTCTAATTCAATGTTACGGGAGTTTTGTCAATGCCTACAATTACTGATGGACCAGTCGTAATCCACTTTGCTATGTCAGTGCTGTTTCAGCACTGACTCAGATGTAGCATCATATTTTTCTTAATGGTGATGGGTGGGTAGGCATGCAGGTAGAAGAAGAGTGCATGTCTGATTTTGTAACAAAACTCGGTTACTAGTAAAACTCTACACTGAACGGCATAATCTGTCTTCCTGAAATAACATTCTTCTTTAGTCAAGCATAAAATGACTAAATTGTTCGTACTGTTAAATGCACAATAAAAGCACCCATCTATTACCTTTTCCTATCTGGCATAAACACGCTTAGGTGTGCTGACTAAACGAGCACATGTCATTCATGGACGAAGTGAG